TTAAACAAGAGAAACTCCAGAAGATGGGGCTCGCTTTTCCTCAGAGGACACGTTCAGCTTCCTAAGGCTGAGAGCCATGTTGGCACATCTGGGCCTCCCCACTGCCGTGAGGGGAACAGCAAGCCACAGAGAAGCAGCCACTCATGGGCATCCTCGGGGGGCAGCTTAACGCGCCGGGAGCCACCTCAGGGACCTGGTGTGGAAAGTGCTGTCTGTTGCGATGGGAATTAAAGTTTCAGTCACCTACAACCACCCACACTGTGGGGTGCAGCCCAGTTAGCTGCATTACGCCTCCCTTAGCACTGTGCAGCGTCCTGTGCCTTGCTGTTTCCCTCTGTGACAAAGACCGTTCCTGGAAGCGTGGCCAGCCGACTTGGGGCAGGTTCCTCACCGCCCCTCATGGGGTGCCCTGAGCCTGAGCTGCTTATGCTGATCTCGTACTTGGCGTCAGGGCAAGAGGCAAAGAAGAGATATGTAACAGAAACAGACCCGAGAGCCTACTTGCTGGGAAGGGGCGAGTCACAACTCCCAGGAGAGATGCCCAGCACTGTAATCTTGCCACTCCAGTCTGCCGATCCAGGTTCTGATGTCGGAGACTTTGTCCCCGATCACTGATTATTGGGGGGCAGATCAGGCAGGGTCTCAAGGTGGGAATGGCGTCGGCGAGCGGAGATTCTTAGAAAAAGGGGGAAAAGGGAAAAAAGGAGAGCGGGCGCAAGGAAGACACGGAATGGGAGTTGGGTGCGAGTCTTCCTGCCCCGCCTTCAGCAGCGGTTTATTTTATACACTTCAGGCCGGCAGGGGGTGGCATCAGCATATGAAATGGGCTGAGAGCACACTCACCTTTCTGCTAAGAGCAGTCTGGGGTCATTTTGAGCTTTAGTTGAGGTTATAACAGTTTTAAAATCAACCTACCAAGGTTAAAACAGGTACAGAGATTCACAAAGTTTAAGACTAATATTACTATATTTACCACAGTGAAGATTAACCAAAATAAAGTCCCTGAAACATTATCTTGTACTTAAGGGCTTTCATTCTCATAGAGACATCCTAGGGGGTAAAGTGAGGGCAGGAAGGAAAACTTCTTGTACATCAAATTAAGGAAAGGTTCTTTGAAAAACTTGTTAACAAGTTTGAGTTTTCTTGAAGTCTAGAAGGTAGAAAACCTGATTAGCTCTGCATAGGTGACTTGGGTGAATTTCCATATCCAAAGACGAGATAGTAGAAAGCTTGAATGGTTATTTAGAAGGCTGCGTGAGATAAGAGTGATAAGATTTGGGTTTTCCTCAGTCTGGCAGTGAGAGACTTTGCAGTAACAGCCATATGTTTTTATTAATGACTTTTGACTTCCAGAGGAATTTCTCACCCTGGTGCAGTGCTTGCTCGTCAGGGCCAGGTAGCGCCTCCTGAGGCTGAGGCAATCCAATTGTAAGCTGAAGCTTGCTCAGAATATTTTGATATTACGATTATACAAAAAAGGGAGGTCGTAACATAAGTTAGCGTGGAAAGGCTGATTTTTCAGAGCATTTCCCCTCCATCCGTACCGTGTCTGTTGACAGAGGTTGCATAGCTTGTGTCATCCTGAGGAGTCACGATGTTCTCTAGCGGCTCATGTTTTAACACAACTGTCTTCTTTTTTATTTTTTTAAAAAAAACATTTATTGATGCATACAGACCTGGGGTACAGTCCAAAGGTGTAGGGGGTGACAGGGTTCACCAGAGACAGAGTGGGGGGCAGAACAGGCAGATTGACAAAAGTACACTGCTGAGAGGGCAGCGGGAAGCAGGAGAGGTCTGCAGCGCCCTGTGGGTCACCTGGGGGCAGGGAGCGACTGAAGCAGCTGCAGAGCTTCACGGTGCTGTGCTTTAACCCGTTGTGCCACCAGGGAGGGCCCTGTCTTCTTTTCTAAGTGACTTGAAAAATGTGCTCCCCTTCACGTGGCGCAATCTGAGATGCTGTGACGGAGACTGGTGACCCAAGATACTGTCAGGGTGTGATTCCATCGCTGTCGTCACTGGTGGCCACAGTGCTTTGATCCATGTGCAACTTTATATCTTAGTTTTGGTGGTGTACTGTTCAAATGAAGCCAGTGCTGAGCTGCCAATGATTGGAAGCAGAGAATTTAAAAATATATTTATTTATTTATGCACACAAGAACTGGGGTACAGGCCAACGCTGCGATGGCGGGGTGACAGGCCTTCCGAGAGACAGAGCAGGGAGCAAAGCAGCGGGAGACAGGCGGTCTGCTGCGCCCAGAGGATCAGCTCGCGGCGATGGAACCGGAGCTGCAGAGGCCACAGCTCCACAGGGCTGCACTTCGGCCACCAGAGGCAGAAAATGTCTGTTTCACCACCCGGTGTCCATCTAACTGGGCGCAGAAAGGGCAGCGGCCCAGCACAGAACGGCCAGGTGCCAGCGGCCGCCACGCTTCCCTTCCCTTCGCGGGTCGCGAGCTGCCGCCTCGGGGTCGCGAGCGTGCCTGTCTCCCAGCCCCCCCTCCGAGGCCAGCCGCGGCGACGCTCGGTGTGGCCGTGAAGACAATGTCACCTGCCCTGGTCAGCGCCCGCTGCTGTGCCCCGGGGCGCACCCGGCCCCCAAGGTCTGAGCAGGCTGGGGCCTGTGGGCACAGCCTAAGGCACTTCGACCGGCCCCTGACCACGGGCTGGGTGTGGACACAAGGTCGGTGCGTCACCCCGCTAGA